GCTTTATTGAAATAATTTGCATAATTTAAAAGGACAAATTATTTTCCACAAAATAATGACAGAAGATGTAATAATCAAACTATAAAGCAGATATTTCATGATTTGGATTAAAAACCTGAATTACAAAAAATGTAATAAAATAAGGTGAACAAACATATTTCTCAAATTAATGAAATGGACAGTTCTTCCCAAAAACGATTTAAAGCAATGCTCTGAAATGCTTTTCAAAACATTAAATTGTCATTATTCTGCTGCTGCCACAATCAAAAAGAGATTTGAGTTTAAGCAAAGCCTCAAATTTAAATGGTTTTTGTTTTTTGGAAGATGAATCAATAAAACATTTTTTCTCCAGCAGTAAAAAAAAAAAAAGGGCAAAAAAACTACTGATGTGATTAAAAACTAGCAGTTTCACTTCGAATGAATGCTTCGTGTAATGCAGTATGTCTATATAACGAAATGTATAGATAAAAAAAAATAATTATATGGGAAAAAGTCAGAATTCTGACCTTTTTCTCCCATTATACTGATATAAAATGTAAAAATCAGTTAACTTTTTTTAAAACATTTTTTCAGTGGCCCTAATCCTATTCTGTAATAAAAATTCATTTTAAAACTCAAAATAACATATATCCCTGTGCAGAGTTTTTAAGTTAGAGATTTAAAATTGATATATGTAAAAAAAAAAAAAAAAATTTTTTTTTTTTTATAGTTATTGTCTGGTGAAGTCTTTTTGGGAAAAGATTCATGATTGGTTATCAATGAAAAATGTAACTCCCAATTTTGAATATAAAGGAGTGACATTTTGCATTACTTTTTAAGACAAAAATGTGGAATTTGTATGGAATATTATTTTCATTTTTAGGAAATTATTTATTCAAGTGTAGATTCTTTAAAGTTTCTCAAAATCTCCAAAATTATATTAAAGGTTTTTCTGCCTCGATTAATAAATTAATAACAAAGCCTTAAAGTTTTCCCATTTGACAGCAGTAAACTTTAGTTAAACCCCTGTGTTGCTTGTTTTATTTATTTTATCTAAAAAGAAATTAAATATAAAGTTTTCTTTTTTTAATTGAAGAATCAAACTAATACAAGGCATATCAAAACAATTATATAAAATTGTAAATTGAACATCTTAGGAAGCTGAGCAGAGTATGTATAATATAACAAATAGAATCATACAGAGAACCTATATACAATTAGAAAACAACAATAACAGATCGTAGAACAAAGTAATTAAATAAAAAACAAAAGGACTCATGAATTTCAATATATTGCATCATTGGCTGGGCTTTAGGGTTTTTACAATGGGTTAGTACTTCTTTATAAAATTATTTAAAAATATTGAGAGATGGGGTCATTTTTTTAAATAGACGCTTGTGTATGAAAAATCTGGCCAAAATAATTAAATTTTTATTACCATAGTTTAAATATAAAGAAATATATTCTCCGCTCTGTTGCGGCTCCACTGCGCCCTCTAGCGGCCCTGTTTAACAGCGTCCCGGTCCTCCTGACCCGGATGTAAATCCGCAGCGGACATGCTGGTGGCGCCGTGTGATTCCTGACGACATGCGGGCGATTTCTGGAGGTTTCCCAGCGGTGCTGTGCTGAACTAACCGGGCAGAGACCCGCAGAAGAGACGGCCTTCAGTACGGTGAGCTGGTCGGGTTCCTCCCAGAGGAAACTAACGGTCGGAGGTCAGAATGGCCGCTCTGAGGGAGGCTGGCTGGGTGGGTGGAGGCAGCTAACCGAACCGGGCTGAAACTCTCAGAACTAGAAAACACTTGTTAAACTGATGGACCTGCGCTCTGCTGCGGATCCTGCTGCCTTTCCGGGATGCTTCCGCTCCGTCTGTCCGCCTCTGGCTCCTCCAGCAGCGGCTGAACCGGTTGAAGCCAGCCGCGGTCCGCTCCATTTGTTCGGGCAGAAGTTTTTAGCTTCCAGCGGTGATTCTGAGGCCTCAGAGGCCGGCGGAGGGTTCACAGTCAGCGGGTGGGGGGTGACTGGGAGTCCGGTGGGCCTGGAGCACATCCGGCTCCAGCTGTTGGCACCGCGTTGCATCATATTCCTGTCAGATCGACCCAGAATAAAACATTAGAACCGAACTTTGACCCCAGGAAGTTCTGGACGTGACCCAAACGGTCCAGAACCGGCGGTTAGAATCAGTGTAACGGTCCGCAGAGAAAAGGAGGAACCGAACCGGTCCTCCAGGACTTATTAACTTAGTAACTATCAGTCACTAACTATCTGCAGCCATTAATCACTGCCTATCAGTAACCATAGCAACCGCTGCTAGCTATTATGGGCTGGCACAGCAGACCTGAGCCCAGAAAATCAGCCTTTGGTTCTGATTAGTTCATCATATCCGGTCCAATAATGAGGAGAACTCAAAGCAACCATCTTTGTATCCAGATGGTTCCAACTAGTGTTGCACCGATTCCGATTCCGATAACCGATACCTGGCTGATACCGGTAACATCTGTTTGAAATTGATGTGTGTGTATATCTGAAGCACTGCATACTAGTTGGATGTAAAATAATTGCCATCATGGCTTTGTCAAGCTGCTGCCTACCTTTGTGAAGCAGGAAAAAAGCTGGGGAATTTTTTTTTTTGCCTTTTTCAGGCCGACTTTCCAATGGTGCGAGAATTTTCCGATCGGGCCAACTTTCAGCCTGATGGTGCATCGTGTAATGAGGGTAGGGAGGGGCGATCAGCCTCTCACAACCACCTCCTGATCAGGAATTGTGAGGTCGGGAGAAAATCAAAAATGTTTGAAATTCAGTCGACCGTCGTGGGCAAATCGCTCAGTGGGCAAACAAGATTCTTCTTCTTCCTCTCACATGTAAACACAGCAGCATGGCGGAGGTGCAATGAGTGAAATGGAGTTCTGTCTGTTAAATTGACAGACCGTAGTAGCCACGTTTGCTCAGCCATGTCTTTAACCATATACGCTGTTTCCTTTTCTTTTAGGGCTTTCAGCACAAAATTTCCCAAATTTCCAAGGCAGCACGTTTCTCTCTAGTGAGCTTCATATTCCTCTTCTGCCTGTTTTGATTAGCCTAGTAAACTAGCCCAGCTGCCAAATAATTTTGCCTGCGAGTGCGTCTAGCCTCGATCAATGCTGCAGGCCCTAGAACTGGCGGGCCAATCACAACGCAGAGATGTGTTTAGAATTTCTGGATGCAAAGCAGGCAGGTTTTGAGGGCGTGACGACAAAACTGCGAGACGCCGGAGAAAGCACAATAAGGAAGATGGCAGCAACTATTGAACAGTTCTCGATTGACTCAGCTTTGGAAGGATTAGACTTGGGGTTTTCATTGAAACGTGAGCAGGAAGAGGCTCTACACTCATTAAATTTTAAGAAGGACGTATTCGCCGTTTTACAGACTATTATATAGATTATATAGATTATTTTTTTATAAAAAAAAAAAAATAATGGCTCGCCATTATTGGTTCCGTCCCGATAGCGGAACCAATTAAAGCGTTGTTGCGGCCGGAACATTAGGGAGATGCGGCATTAACTTTTTGTCTGGAAAATATGAGCAAGTGTAAATGTAATGAAAATTGTCTCCAGCCAAGAGTTTACTCCATGGCTAAAACCAGGGAACATACATGAGGCTCAGTGGATTTTGTGCAAGAAGTCATTCAAGCTCAGAACGATGGGATTAAGGCAGGAGAGTCGCATGCGAAGCAAGAAACACAAAGCGTCAAAATGGAGTTACCGAGAAACAGCCGGTATTTCTCAGTTTTGTTCCACCCTTGTCTCTGCAACGCCTCCAGTTATCACCAAATCAAACATACTAAGAAAACCATACAAAGAAAAATAGCTGCAAAAAAGACTTAGCACTGGTTATGTTGTGGCTTTAAAACTGATTTGTTTTGTTCCCTGCTAAAACAAAGTTTGTGAATTCAGTTAAATAATTATTAAAATATATTTGTAATTTGTGTGTTTTTAGCTTTCTTCCTGTATGGGAAGCTTTTCAAAATTTGAAACATTAGTGCAGTGGTTTATGTTAAAGTAAACCTTTGGGTTAAGTTGTTGCAAGCAGGTTTTTCTTGTGAATTTGGTCTTAAATTTTTATTTTAAGTGGCATTAAAAAGTCTTGAATTTAACTTGCCTTATGCTGTAGGAACCCTGGTAAACGGTTCCGGCTGAGAATGTATTCATGATGGGGTTCAGATCCTTGGAACAGAAACTAAACCAGAATCAGTGTCGGTCTGAAAGAGTCGGATCTGTATGCTGGACCAACAGCTCAGACTTGCTCTGGTTCTGGTTCTGGTTCCAGCAGAACCTCGGCTGGTCGTGTCTCTCCAGGTTTCTGACTCCAGGTTCTCCTCCTCTAGATGTTCCACAGCTCTTCCCTGGCAGAACCGAAGAAGCCAAGCGACTGTGAGGAACGTTAACCCCGCATGGCCTGCCAGTCTGCCTCTGCAGTCATGGACGAGCAGGCGCTGCTGGGGCTCAATCCGAACGCCGACGCCCCCTACAGGCAGAGGGTGAGGGTCCTCTCCGCTCAGACAGGGGGCGCTGTTTGTGTCTCCAGATTAGACGACGTTCTGCTGTGTCTCTGCAGGCTCTGGCGTACTTCGAGCAGCTGAAGCAGTCTCAGGACGCCTGGGAGGTCTGCGCCGACGCGCTGGCTAAAGGCATCTACAGGTGAGTGTCTCCTCCTGACAGGAACTTCCTGTTTCCTCACATCGCCTCCCCTCATGGCGCTTCTTCTCCTCTGCAGTGACGACCACGTCAAGTTCTTCTGCTTCCAAGTTCTTGAGCATCAGATCAAGTTCAGGTATGGCTTAGCAGACGTTCCTCTGGGGTTCCTGTGCGCCGCCTGCTGCTGATCTTCTCACCTGTTCTTCCTGTTGCAGACATGCAGGCCTGACGGCGCCTCAGCAGCAGCTCATCAGGGAGACGCTGATGAAGTGGCTGCAGACTCAGGTACCGCCGGTTCTGATCCAGAAGGCTGCTTCAGGAAACCTCTAGAGCTGTGATGATCATGTCCTCCTCGTTCTCTGCAGCTGATGATCACCCAGCCGGAGAAGGCCTTCATCAGGAACAAGGCGGCGCAGGTGTTCGCCCTCACCTTCGTCATGGAGTACCTGACTCTGTGGCCCAAGTTCTTCTTCGACATCCTCAACCTGGTTGGTCTGAATCCGCACGGCGTCGACATCTACCTGAGGACGCTGATGGCCATCGACGCCGAGGTGGTGGACAGAGACATCCTGCACACGCCTGAGGTGAGGACCGTGACCCGCCGGTCCGTCCCGATGCCTCCAGAACCGGCTGACCCGTTTTGGTTGTTGTTGTTCTGCAGGAAACCCGCAGGAACACTCTGATCAAAGACTCCATGCGGGAGCAGTGCATCCCCAGCCTGGTGGAGTCCTGGTTCCAGATCCTGTCGGCGTACCAGCGGACCCACCCGGAGCTCACCTGTCAGTGTCTGGAGGTGGTGGGCGCCTACGTGTCCTGGATCGACCTGAACCTCATCGCCAACGACCGGTCAGTCAACGCAGCAGATCCCAGACCCGCTCAGGGAGGTTCTGTGCGGTCGGGTCATGGCTGTGTTTGGGTTTCAGGTTCGTGAACCTGTTGCTGGGTCAGATGTCCATGGAGGACCTGAGAGAGGAGGCCTGCGACTGCCTGTTTGAAATAGTCAACAAGGGAATGGACCCGGTGGACAAAACCAAGCTGGTGGAGTCGCTGTGCCAGGTTCTGCAGTCGGCCGGGTTCTTCAACATAGAACAGGTGGGTACCCCCCCACGTGGCTCCAAAGCTGCGTGGTCTCCATGGAAACATGCATGATCAGCATCCTCTGCCTCTGATTGGCTTCTCAGTGGAGCAGATCAGTCAGTTTATGGACCAGAAGCAGAGGTACAGAAAAATGCCTCTCTCCGAGTCTGACCCGGTTACTATGGCAACTGAGCAGAGTTATGATCAGAACACACACAGTTTGATTTTGTGTCCATTCTAACAGAAAATTGTCAGATGAGGTCGTGGCGTTAAGCGCTCATTGAAAGTCAGCGGTGATGATCACACCGAGCTCTGACTAAGGTTTAGTCGGAGCTACGCAGCAATTCAGCCGCAATTTAATGGGTCTGACAGGAAAAGAAACAAAATAAAATTTGTTAATCGCACGTTAAAAGAGTCAGTTCCGGAGTCACATATAGTAAGCAGGACAAACTTGTTCAAAAACAATGAATGAAACATTAAAAAAATAGAAACTTTACCAATGATGGGAGTTAAGGAGGACAGAAAACATTTAAAGTATTGATCCCCTTTGATCTTTGTGAAAACAAAGAGGGATATCGCAATTCATCTACTCAGAAAAAGGAAACAAGAGGAGAAAAATTGATATATAAAAAATGGTGATCCTCTTTCATTGGACGGTTCTGGTTCTGTTGTTTCTAGAACAGAACGTTGTGACCCTAAACTCCGGAGTGGTTCTGGGTCCACTGGTTCAGGAACCTGGTTCTGAATAGGTGAGGCTCTGGGGAGATGGGAGCGTCGGGTCCAACAATGTCCTCTCCCCCCCAGGAGGAGGACGTGGACTTCCTGGCCAAGTTCTCCCGGCTGGTGAACGGGATGGGTCAGAGCCTGGTTCTGAGCTGGACCAAGCTGGTGAAGTCCGGCAGCGCGAAGGAGGCGGCGGAGACGCTGCAGGCGGTGGAGGCCAAGGTTCCGCTGCTGCTTCAGCTGCTGCTGCACGAAGACGACGACATCTCTGCCAACATGGTGGGCTTCTGCTACGACTACCTGCACGTCCTCAAACAGGTGAGTCCCTCGGGGGGGCGGGGCCTCTTCCAGCGACACAGCTCCTGACCCGCTCTGTCTCTGCAGCTTCCACAGCTGACGGAGCAGCAGAAGGCGAACGTGGAGGTAAGTGGAGGAGCAGGAAGCTTCAGAGGTTCTGGTTCTGAGGGCGGAGCTAACGTTCTGGCTGTGCTGCAGGCCGTCATGCTGGCTGTGATGAAGAAGCTGACCTATGACGACGAGTACAACTTCGAGAACGAGGTGGGCCGGTGTTTCGGGGCTGTGCAGGGTTCCCCGCCGCCACACGGTTCTGATGAGACCTGGTTTGTGTTGCAGGGGGAAGATGAGGCCATGTTTGTGGAGTACAGGAAGCAGCTGAAGATGCTGCTGGACCGCCTGGCCCAGGTGTCCCCAGAGCTGCTGCTGGAAGCCGTGCGCCGCGTCTTCACCAGCACCATGCAGTGAGTGCAGCTTGGTAGAGGGACAACGATGACTGTTCTGGTTCTGACCCGGTTCTGTGCCCCATCAGGACGTGGCAGGCGGCGCCGTTTATGGAGGTGGAGGTGGCCATCCGGCTGCTCTACATGCTGGGAGAGGCTCTGCCGGCGTCCCACGGCGCCCACTTCTCCGGCGACACGGCTAAAACCAGCGCCCTGCAGGACATGATGAGGACGGTGAGTCAGAACCAGAACTCCTACCCATGGGGGACTGAACAGGAGGTCCTGGAGCTGTAGGATAACCGCGTCCTTCTGTCCGTCTCCAGCTGGTGTCCTGCGGCGTCAGCAGCTACCAGCACTCCTCCGTGTCTCTGGAGTTCTTCGAAACGGTCGTCAGATACGACAAGTTCTTTGTGGTGGAGCCTCAGCACATTCCCAATGTTCTGGTGAGTCCGGCCTCCTGGAGAACCTTCCCAATCAGCCGCGCCGTGTTCTGATGTGGAGCCGTCTTCCCTCAGATGGCGTTCCTGGACCAGAGAGGACTGAGACACAACAGCCCGAAGGTCCGGAGCCGAGTGGCCTACCTGTTCTCCAGGTTCATCAAGACCCTGCAGTGAGTTCAGGTCCATTTCTCGGTCCGGCCGCATTCTGCCGGTTCCGCTCTGACCACCGTTTTTTTGTCCAGCAAACACATGACGGCGTTCATCGAGGACATCTTGACCAGGATCCAGGACCTGCTGGAGCTGGCTCCTCCTGTAAGTACCGCCTCCAGCTGGGCCGCTGAGGTTCCCCTCCGCTCTGACTCCTCCCTTCTTTGCAGGAGAATGGCTTCCCAGCGCTGCTTACCAGCGACGACCAGCTCTTCATGTTCGAAGCGGCCGGCGTTCTGATCGTTAGCGGGGAAAGTCCGATGGAGAGGAAGCAGGTTCTGATGCGGAGCCTCCTGGCGCCGCTGATGGACGCCTTCCGCCTGCTGCTCGCCAAGCTGTTGCAGGAGACGGTGGAGGAGCGGCAGGTCACCCTGGCAGACGCCCTGAGCCACGCCGTCGGCTTCGCCAGGTCAGACCCAGCAGCGGTCGGTTCCGTGTGGACCCAGCGGGCCCGGTTTAACCTCCTCTTCCTTGTGTTTCTGCAGCCGGACCAGCAAAGCGTTCAGCAACAAGCAGACGGTGAAGCAGTGCGGCTGCACCGAGGTCTACAGGGACTGTCTGCAGAACTTCCTGCCGGCGCTGAGCTGCCCGGTCCAGCGGGGGGTTCTACGCGGCGCCGTCCGCTCCTTCCTGCACCGCATGATCATCTGCCTGGAGGAGGAGGTGCTGCCCTTCATCCCCGCCGCCTCGGAGCACATGCTGAAGGACTGCGAGGCCAGAGACCTGCAGGAGTTCATCCCACTCATCAGCCAGATCACCGCCAAGTTCAAGGTACCGACCAGAACCAGCAGCAGAACCCCGTAAACGCTCCGCCTCCCGGCTGACGGCTCCTGCTCTCCCCGCAGTGCCAGGTGTCGCCGTTCCTGCAGCAGATCTTCATGCCGCTGGTTCTGGCCATCTTCGAGGTTCTGGGCCGACCCGCCGAGGAGAACGACCAAACAGCGGCGCTGGAGAAGCAGATGCTGAGGAGGAGTTACTTCAGCTTCATCCAGACCATCGCAGGGAGCGGCATGAACGAGGTTCTGGCCAACCAGGGTGAGCAGCGCCACCTGAGCCTTAAATAAACCAGGAGCTGTTCCAGAAGATTCTGGAGGGTCGCTTTACCCCTTCAGAACCTCTGGTCCAGATGCTGGTAAACATTTAATTCTGGTTTCAGGAGCAGAAAACGTGGAGCGGGTTCTGTTCACCATCATCCAGGGCGCCGTGGAGTTCCCCGACCCGATCGCCCAGAAGACCTGCTTCATCATCCTGTCCCGGCTGGTGGAGCTGTGGGGTGAGTCTCCCCGGCAGGACGCCCGGTTCTGGTTCCGGCTGCTTTCTAACCGTCTGTTTGGTTCTGATCCGACCTGCAGGAGGGAAGGACGGCATGGTGGGCTTCCCTGACTTCATCTACAAACACATCGTCCCGGCGTGTTTCCTGGCTCCGCTCAAACCCACCTTCGACCTCTCTGACGCCCAGACGGTTCTGGTGAGTCCGTGGATCAGGATCCAGTCTGAAACCCGATTATTTCACCTGCTGGTTCTGATGGTTCTGTCGTTCTGCAGACGCTGTCGGAGTGCGCTCTCACACTGAAGATGATCCATCTCAAAAGGGTAAAAAACCCAAACGGTTCAACTGTTCTGATAAGTTCTGATTCGGTTCTAACCTGGTTCCTTCCTCAGGGGTCCGAGTTCATCCAGTTCCTGCAGCACGAGTACCTGCCGTCCCTGCAGGTTTCCCCTGAGATCTCACAGGTAGGACCGGGTCCAGAGGAGGAACTCCTCCTTATTGTTCTGGTTCTGATTCTGGTTTTCCCTTCAGGAGCTGGGTCAGGTCCTGCAGCAGCCCGACGTCAAAGTTCTGAAGAACTACATCAAGGTAGGCGGCTTCCCGGTCCGGTTCTCCTCTCTGCTTGGTTGGTTCTGTCCAGATGTTCAGGCGGTTCTGACTCCTCCTGTCTGCAGGCGTTCTTCCAGAGAGCCAAGCTGTGATACCGGACCTCCAACCGGACCCAAGAACTAAACTCTCCGCTCAGCACGCAGGAACTCGGCACTTATTCAGGAACTGTGGAAGTAGAACGGGTCGGCGCTCCGGGCCGCCTGACAGCTTGGAGGTTCTGGACTCGGAGCAGAAGAACCAGGAGAAAGGAAAAGTTCTGGATCAGACGAGCAGATGGCGTCTCACCCCCGAACCCTGAGTTCTTCAGAAAACGGGCCGAACAGAACCGGGTTGAAAACCTTTTAGTTTTTTTTTTGTTTTTTTGGTTGAGTTTGCAGTGGAAACATTCAACCCATCCTCTCTGTCCAGAACCAGAACCTTCTGGACTCCAGAACCATCTCCATCTCGCTGTGGATCCTCCATAGGTTCTGATGGATCGGAGGAACAAAGTGTAAATAGAGAAGTTCAGACTGTAAATAAAAGATCCTAGCTTTAGTTTTTTTAATAATTCATCTCATCTGGAAGTTTTGTACGGAAGCCCATGAAGGCCAAGATTAAACAGCCAGTTAATGTGTTAAAGAGGAACTCATTCTGATTTTTCCTTTGAATGTTTACATGAAAATATTTTCTGTTACTTTGATCGAAACGAGTTAAACTCTGATGAGAGTCGGACCGTTGGAGGATTTTTATTTCATTTATTTATCATGTTGCCGTTTTATTCTGGAACTCTGTGAAGTTCCTGTAGATCTCATTTCATCTTAAAATAATGTAGATTATTTTTAAGCCCCGTTTCAGCCCGAAGAAAGTTTTTGTTTAGATTAATTCGATATTTAATTTGGGAAAATTTCGGTTATCTTGACCCAAATATTGTAAAAGGAGACCGAACGGCTCAGAAGCATTGCTTCAGTTTGGTTGTGATTTTTATCCATGTGTCTGAGGGCCCAAATGTGCCATGATTAAAACTGCAATCATTAAAATGAGTCACCTGCCAGTGATTTATTGAAATAAACTCATGGTTAAAGCCTTTTTACTGACCTGATTAGTCCCATATAAGCAGAAGCTGTAAGCCCCGCCCACTAGCTGCTATCCTGAGCTGGAAATACATTTTCTTGATTTGTTAGAATTATAATCATCCATCTAAATCACTCAAATCAAGTTACTCCTATTTATAAAAGGTGTTTTGGTCAAGATGGGCTCAAATGAGGAACTGATCCTCTTCATTGTTGAAAAACAAAATGCAGATTTTGACCATAAAATATGGGCAACTGTTGCACCATGTTCTGTGAGCCTTAGAGATGGGAGAGTTGTGCCAAGAAAAGATCAAGAAACTCTGGGATTGTTAGGAAAAAGCTTATTGATTGAGAGGTTGTCCTCCATGTTGTTCTGCTAACCATGTGAAATGGGATTCTTAATCTAAAGCCTGTTTTTAATCATATGAATTTGATTCCTAACAGATGTCAGCTTTTGGTTTAAAGGATTGAAGCTGAGTAGAGAGTAGAGGTCTGGGCATTTATTTGCATTTGCAATATAATCTCAATTTATAAAAATGCATTTTTCAAATCGCAGATGCACTCTGATTTTTAGTCACAATACAATTCACAAAAGTAATTCTAAATTTCTCCCTTCAGGAGGCAGTAAATGGATTAAAGGTGGTAGGAAGCATTGTGGCACAAAAGGGAACAAAGACTTGCAGCTAGATTTAGTCATTATAGTGGACTACGCTGGGTAAAGTTCTCAGTCATCCAGGTTATTGTCATTCATAAAAAGTTAAAAACAATCCACTGAACTTTGTTTCCAAGTTTGAAGATGTTTCGCTTCCCATCCAGAAAACTTTTTAAAATCAAAATGTCAGAAATGGCTTTGAGTTCGAGGCTCTTATACAGCAGCCCAACAAAGCCTTTAGACAAGATGCTAATTGAAACAGACGAATGTTGAATTGCTATCTGAATAGTGCTGGCAGTTAGGAAGGAGTAGAGCTGCAACCAGGAAGCTTCATTGCACCAAATCAGTTAGAATAGAGACCTCCTGATGTTCCTAACTGCCACTAGGACTTAAATCCATTAGTTCTTTCCTGTTCTCTCTATCAATACATTTACCTTCCTTCAGATTTTTATGGAGAGCTACTTTTTGTCTAACGTGACCTCCTTTCTTACTGGTGATCCCATGAAATGCAGAGGATAGGAGCTTCAGATTGAGCGTGGGAAGCCATTAGTCCAAGTAAAATTACAACCTTGAGTTTTTTCTACCATGTTTTAGCTCAGATCTGCACAGGCAAGCGTTTGTCGGTTGGTTTGTCTGCAGCCAGAATAAGAATCTCCATCAGTAGGCGATCAAAACGAGCCTGATGTTTCAGGTGTTCAGTATGAAATGTTGGCAGTGTGAGGATGGCCTGCTACGCATTAAATCCAATCAGCAGTTGCTGCCTGTTATGTTGCACCTCGACACTTTCTACACACACAATCAGGGGAGGATTTAGGAAATATGGGGCCCACTGACTTAAAGGAATTGTACACCCAAAGCATGATTAGCCTTCATTTTCTACTCACCCCCATGCTGAACAACACTCTGGAGTACTTTTTTGATATCTCAAATGCATCTGGA